TGCTTCCTCTTCACCATGGATGCACAATCCCTTTACACGTCCATCCTCCATGAGGATGATCTCAGGGTTTTCTGCTTCTTCTTGTAGCAAAGACATGAACCCCCTCACCCACCACAACTCTCCTCCACTTGGCCGAGCTCATCCTCACCCTAAACAACTTCTCTTTTAACTCCTGTCATTTTCTTCAGGTCAGAGGGGTGGCCATGGGTACCGCATGGGCCCTAGTTATGCCTGTCTCTTCATGGGGTACGTGGAACATTCCCTGTTGCAGTCCTATTCCGGCTCCCACCCTCAGCTTTTTCTTCGATATATCGATGATTTCATTGTTGCTGCTTCCCTATTTCATCTGGAATTGGAAAAATTCATCAATCTCGCTTCCCATTTCCACTCTGCCCTCATTTTCACTTGATCTATTTCTGACTCCTCTCTTCCCTACCTCAACATTTCTGTTTCCACTTCTGGGCATAGCCTGGCCACTAATATCCACAATAAATGCACCGACTCCTACAGCTACCTGGACTATACATCGTTGCACCCTGCTTCCTCTAAAGACTCCATTCCATTCTCTCAGTTTCTCCATCTCTATCGCAAGAGTTCCGATGAGGCTAACTTCGACAAGGGACCCTCCGAAATGTCCACCTTCTTCCTCAACAGAGAATTCCCCAACATCATTGTCGTCAGGGGCCTCAACCAGGTCCAACCCATCTCCTGTACTTTTGCCCTCACCCCCTCCCTTCATTCCCACAACAGCGATAGGATTCCCCTTCTCCTTATCTTTCATCCCACCAAAATCTACAACCTGAAGATCATCAGCCACCATTTCCATTACTTCCAGCAAGATGCCACCACCAGACATGTATTTCCCTCCCCTTCCTTGTCCGCATTCCACAGGGACAGTTCCCTCCGGGACAAACTGGTCCACTCTTCCTTCACTCCCAACACCCCTCCACAGACACACAACATCTTCCACTGTAACCGCCAAAGGTGTAACACCTGCTCATTTACCTCCTCCCTTCCCAGTATTCAACAGTCCAAACATACCTTCCAGGTGAAGCAAAACTTTACCTGTAGTCCGCAGAGTCTAGTCTACTGCATTCGCTGCTCACAATGTTGTCTCCTCTACATTGGGGAAACGAAGCATAGACTGGATAACTGATTCTCAGGCCATCTATGTTCTGCTTGCAAAACAGACCCTGAGCTTCCAGTTGCCTGCCGCTTTAACACACCACCCTGTTCCCTGACCAACATCTCTGTCGCAGGCTTGCTGCAGCGTTCCAGTGAAGCTCAGCTCAAGCTAACAGAACAACACCACATTTTCCGCTTGAGGACCCTGCAGCCATCTGGACTCAATATCGAGTTCAATAATTTTAGGGCCTGAACTCTCCCATGTTTTGGACCACATACATATTACCAGAGAGGAGGTGTTTGCAGCCTTAGATCGCGTTAAGGTGGATAAATCCCCTGGGCCTGATCAAATCCATCTTCGGGCATTGTGAGAGATGAGGGAAGAAACTGCAGAGGCTCTTGCAGAGATTTTTGTTTCATCTTTAGCCACTGGTGAAGTTTTGGAAGACTGGAGAGTGGCTAATGTTTTTCTATTGTTTACGAAAGGTAGCAAAAGCAAATTATTGCAGAGGATTTTATATATGTAAACTGAAATTTTCCCAGCTACCATCAGTTCTAAGGAAGGGTCACCGGACCCGAAATGTTACCTCTGATTTTTTCTTCACAGATGCTGCCAGATCTGCTGACCTTTTCCAGCAGCTTCTGTTTTTGCTCCTGATTTACAGCATCCACAGTTTTTTTGGTTTTTATTGCAAATGATACTGAGGGATGGGATCAACCAACACTTGGATAGTTAAGGACTGATTAGGGATAGTCAATATGCGGGAAGTCATGTCTGACAAATCTTTTAGAGGTAACCAAGAGGATGGATGAGGGTATGGCAGCGGATGTTGTCTATATGGACTTTAGTAAGGACTTTGACAAGGTCCCGCACAGCAAACTAGTTTTGAGGGTTAGGTTGCATCGGATCCAGGTAGAGCTAGGTAACTGAATTCAAAATTGGCTCGATGGCAATAAGCAGAGGCTTATGTTGAAGGTTGTTTCTCTGATTCGAGGTCTGTGACTAGTGGTGTACCACCGGGGTCAGTGTTGAGACCTTTGTTATTTGTTATTTACATAAATGATCTGGATGTGAAGGTACAAGGCATGATTAATAAGTTTGCGGATGATACAAAATTAGGAGGTATCATTGATAGTGAGGAAGGTTATCAAAAATTACAGAGGGATCTTGATCAGATGGGGAAGTGGGCTGAGGATTGGCAAATGTAATTCAATACAGATAAGTGTGAGGTGTTGCACTTTGGAAAGTCAAAGCAAGATAGGACTTATACAGTAAATGGTAAGGTCCTGAGGACTGTTGTGAAACAGAGGGACTTAGGAGCACAAGTATATAGTTTGCTGAAAGCAGCGTCACAGGTGGACAGGGTGGTGAAGAAGGCATTTAGCATGCTGGTCTGCATCGGTTGAGACATTGAGTATAGGAGTTGGGATGTTATGTTACAGTTGTATAAGCCGTGGTTGGCTGGCTCGCCAACATCCACAACCCGAGCTACAAATCTACTCTAAAAACCTTAAGAGTTGTATAAGTTGTTGGTGAGGCCACACTTGGAGTACAGTTTTGGTCACACTGTTATAGGAAAGACATAGTTAAACTAGAAAGGGTACAAAGAAGAATAATGAGGATGTCACCAGGACTAGTAGGCCTGAGTTATAGGCAGAGGTTGGACAGGATAGACTTTATTCCTTAGAATGTAGGAGAATGAGGGGGTGGCCTTATTGAGGTGTATAAAATCATGAAGGGCATAGATAGGATGAATGCGTATAGTCTTTTTCCCAGCGATGGGGAATTGAAACCACGAGGGCATAGGTTTAAGGTGAGAGGGGAAAGATTTAAGAAGGACCTGAGGGGCAACTTCTTTACGCAGAGAGTAGTGTATATATGGAATTGGCTGCTGGAGAAAGTTGTTGAGGCAGGTACAATAGCAACATTTAAAAAATATTTGGAAAGGTACATGGTTGGGCAGCGTTTAGACAGGAATGGACCATATGTGGGCAATTGGAACTAGCTGAGTGGGCACCATGGTGAGCATTGACCACTTTGGGTCAAAGGGCCTGTTTCTATGCTGTATTACTCTATGACTCTATGACTGTATGTTTCAGCCCCGTACCTTACACACAAGGCATTGTTATCACATAGCCTGCCATTATATATCTACCTAGCTAGCTGCCTTCAAAGATAAATGGACAAGGCCTCTCTGATGCTTTGTACTTCCTGGTGTCCTATCATTCACCATTTGCTCCTTTGTCTTATTAGACTTCTTGAAATGCATTGCCTCATACTTTTCAGGTTTCAGTTCCATTTACCACTGTTCAGTGCATCTATATTGTCCTGTAATCTAAAGGTTTCTTCCTCCTCACTATTCACCACACCACCAATTTTCATGTCATCTGCAAATTTACTGATCATACTTCCTACATTCATGCCTCGGTCATTAATGTACACAAGAAACGACGATGGTCTTCGCCCCAAACCCTGTGGTACTGACTTCAGTCATTTGATAAGTTTGCTCTAGTTGGTTTGTTGATTTTCATGGGGATCCTGACCACTGTTAAACCATTGCAAAAAATGAAGGAACAAAATCCTCATGTTCTTCAGAATGGACCGGTCGCTATTCCTATCCTAACAACATTTGCAGAAAGTAAGGAGGCATGGGATAGGGGGAAATGTGGGCAGATTGGATTCAGAATTGGCTGACCCTTAGAAGACAAAGGGTGGTAGTGGAAGGAAAATATTCAGTATGGTGCTCAGTTACGAGTGGTGTACCACAAGGATCTGTTCTGGGTCCTCTTCTATTTGTGATTTTTGTAAATGATTTGGATGTAGGAGTGGAAGGGTGCATTAGTAAGTTCGCGGGCGATACAAAGGTGGGTCGAGTTGTGGGTAATGCGGAGGGCTGTACGGGTTTACAAAGGTTATAAAGGTTACAAAATAGGATGCAGACCTGGGCTGAGAAGTGGCAGATGGAGTTTAACCCTGAAAAGTGTGAGGTGATTCATTTTGGAAGGACAAACTTGAAAGCAGAATACAGGGTTAACGGAAAGATTCTTGGCAGTATGGAGGAGCAGAGGGATCTTGGGGTTCATGTCCACAGTTCCCTGAAAGCTGCCACCCAGGTGGATAGGGTTGTTAAGAAGGTGTATGGTGTGTTAGCTTTCGTTAATATAGGGATTGAGTTCAAGAGCCGTGAAGTTATGCTCCAGCTATACAAAAGCCTGGTTTGGCCACATCTGGAGTATAGTGTCCAGTTCTGGTCGCCTCATTACAAGAAAGTTGTGGAAGCATTGGAAAAGGTGCAGAGGAGATTTGCCAGGATGTTGCCTGGAATGGAGGGAAGGTCTTATGAGGAAAGGTTGAGAGAGCTAGGGCTTTTCTCTTTAGAACGACGAAGGATGAGAGGTGACTTGATAGAGGTGTACAAAATGATCAGAGATATAGATAGAGTGGATAGCCAGAGACTTTTTCCTCGGGTGAAGTTGGCTATTACGAGGGGACATAGTTTTAAAGTGAGTGGAAGTAGATATAGGGGAGACGTCAGAGGTAGGTCCTTTACTCAGAGAGTGTTAGGGGCGTGGAATGCATTGCCGGAGTCGGCCTCATTAGAGGCATTTAAGCGGCTATTAGACAGGCATATGGGTGATAGTGTAAGGTAGTGGTGGAGGTTAGATAGACCTTAGGTTTAGGATAAAAGTTTGGCACAGCATTGTGGGCCGAAGGGCCTGTATTGTGCTGTACACTTCTATGTTCTAATATCAAGCTGACTGATCAGTATAAACATTAAAGTCATCGGGAGTTTGAGGTTCTGATCAATTTTAGACAGGGTAGTGCGTTACAATCACCGGCGAGTGGGTAAACAGAAGGGAGAATGTGTACTCACGATATTTACTCCTCCAGAATAATCTGATGAACACATCATGCTTAACGGTGCCAAACCTGTGACACTGTACTCAAAATAGCCACCTCTGTAAAAGAGAAATCACTATTAACAACATTCTAAAATTAAAAATGACTGACAGAACTTCATCTTTCATAAAGGACACAGGCCTACTGCACTATCTGTGTATCAGTCATGAACTGAGCTTCAGAAGTTACTGCTCCCCTAGCCAAGCTGTTCCAGTACAGTTACAACACTGGTATCTACCTGATAATGTCAAAAGTTGCCCAGTTATGTCCTGTACATAAAAAGCAGGGCAAATCCAACCTGGCCAATTACTGCCCCATCAGTTAATGAGACTCATAGAATCATAAAGCCTTCTAGCATGAAAAAAGGATCTTTAGCCCTCATGTCTGTGCCAGTTGTCAAACATTTATCTCCGCTTGTCCCATTTTCCAGTACCTGGCCTGCTCTGTGGTGTTGTGTGCTATGCCATTCCAAGTACACATCTGCATACTTCTTACATGTTAGGATAGTTCGTCCATACACCACCCTTACAGGCAGTGAGCTCCAGATGCCCACCAACCACTGGGTAAACAAAAACCTCTGTAAATCATCTGCATTTTACCTTGAGTCACTATCCCTTAGTTATTGACCTGTCTACTAAAGGGAAGTATTTCTTTCCATCTACCCTCATAACTTTGTACATATCAATCAGATTTCCAAAGAAAACAACCCAGGCCTATTCAGCCTATCTTCATCACTGAAATGCACCATCCCAGACAACATTCTGGTGCACCTCCTCTGCTCCCTCTCCAGTGTAATCACATCCTTCGTATAATGTGGTGACCAGAACTGCACACAGTGCTCCCATTGTGGGCTAACTAATATTACATACAGCTCAATTGTAACCTCCCTGTTCTTGTGTTGAGTGCCTCAGTTACGAAAAGGAAGTATCCCACATGCCTTCTTAACCACCTTAAGCACCAGTCAAGTTGCCTTCAAGGACCTGTGGACATGCACACTAAGGTCCCTCTTATTCTCTGTATTACTTAGGATCCTACCATTCATTGTGTACATCCTTGTCTTGTTACTGTTCCCAAATTCCTGACCTTCGTAAAGACCATAAGAAATAGGAACAAGAGGAGGGCATTTGGCCCCTCAGGCCTGCTCCACCATTTAACAGGATCATGGTTGACCTAACATTTCTCATGTCCACTTCCTGCCCCCCTAGTCCTTCCCAGGGGACTTATCTATCTTCAACTTCCTCAAAATTCCTAGCACATCTTCCTTACTAACATCAACCTCCTCTAGCCTACCAGCCTGTTTCACACTGTCCTCCTTTACAACTAGATCCCTCTCAGTTGTGAATACCGAAGAAAAGTATTCATTAAGGACCTCTCCTATCTCTTTAGGCTCCGTGCACAAATTCCCTTTACAATCCTTGATCGGCCCTACCCTTTCTCTGGTCATTCTCTTATTCCTCACGTATGTGTAAAAAGCCTTGGAGTTTTCCTTGATCCTTTCTGCCAAGGTTTTCTCATGCCCCCCTTAGATCTCCTAAGCTCTTTCTTCAGCTCCTTCCTGGATAACTTGTATCCCTCCAGAGCATTTTCCAGAGTCCTGGTGAGGCCACACCTGGAGTACTGTGTGCAGTTTTGGTCTCATTACTTGAGAAGAGATATACTAGCACTGGAGGGGGTGCAGAGGAGATTCACTCGGTTGATTCCAGAGTTGAGAGGGTTGGATTATAGAACATAGAACATTACAGTGCAGTACAGGCCCTTCGGCCCTTGATGTTGCGCCGACCTGGGAAACCAATCTGAAGGCCATCTAACCTAAACTATTCCATTATCATCCATATGTTTATCCAATGACCATTGAAATGCCCTTAAAGTTGGCGAGTCGACTACTTTTGCAGGCAGGGCATTCCACGCCCTTACTACTCTCTGAATAAAGAGAGAGAGGAGAGACCGAGTAGACTGGGATTATACTCATTGGAATTCAGAAGAATGAGGGGAGATCTTATAGAAATGTATCAGATTATGAAGGGAATAGAAAAGGTGGAGGCAGGGAAGTTGTTTCTGCTAGCAGGTGAAACTAGGACTAGGGGGCATCGTCTTAAACTAAAGGGAAGCAGATGTAGGACTGAGGTCAGGAGGAACTTCTTCACCCAAAGGGTTGTGAATCTGTGAAATTCCCTGCCCAGTGAAGTGGTTGAAGCGACTTCACTGAATATTTTTAAGGCAAGGCTAGATAAATTTTTGAACAGTAAAGGAATTAAGGGTTATGTTGAGTGGGCGGCTAAGTGGAGCTGAGTCTCAAAAAGATCAGCCATGATCTTATTAAATGGCGGGGCAGGCTCGAGGGGCCAGATGGCCTACTCCTGCTCCTAGTTCTTATGTTCTTATGTTCCGTTCCTTGTTTCCTAAACCTTACATAAGCCTCCTTCTTCCTCTCAACCAGTCGTTCGACCTCTCTTGAGAACCAAGGCTCCCTCACTCGACTGTATCTTCCCTGCCTGCTAGGGACAAACATATTAAGCACACGCAGTATGCATTCCTTAAACAATCTCCACATTTCTATAGTGCTCTTCCCTGACAGCATCTGTTCCCATTTTATGTTACCCAGTTCTTGCCTAACAGAATTGTAATTACCCTTCCCCCCAATAATAAATCTTACTCTGCTGTATGTACCTATCCTTTTCCATGTCTATTGTAAAAGTAACAGAGTTATGATCGCTACCGCCAAAATGCTCTCCTACCAACAGGTCGAACACTTGGCCTGGTTCATTGCCAAGCACCAAATCCAAAGTGGCCTCTCCTTGTGTTGGTCTATCGACATACTGTGTCAGGAATCCTTCCTGAACCCACTGGACAAAATCCGCTCCATCTAAACTATTACAACTAAAATGTTTCCAATCAATATTTGGAAAGTTGAAGTCACCCATGACTACAACCCTGTGACTTCTGCACCTTTCCAGCATCTGCCTCCCAATCCGCTCCTCTACTTCTCTGCAACTATTAGGGGGTCTGTAAAAAACCCCCAACAAATTGACTGTTCCTTTCTTGTTCCTGACCTCAACCCAAACTGACTCTGTAGACATATCATTCTCGAACTGCTTTTCAGTAGCTGCTATACTCGCCCTGACTAGCAATGCCACTCCCCCGCCTCTTTTTCCACTCTCCCTATTTCTTTTAAAGCATCTAGATCCCGGAACTTCCAACAACCATTCCTCTCCCTGAGTTACCAAGTTTCTGTAATGGCCACAACATCGTAGTTCCAAGTACCGACCCATGCTCTAAGTTCATCCGCCTTATTTCTGATACTTCTAGCATTGAAGTATACACACCTCAAACCATCTCTGTGTCCACAATTACGCTCCATCAACTGCATTTCCTTATAAACAACTTCACTCCCTGTTGTTCCGTTGGAAGGCTGAATACCTCATGCTCTGAATTATAAATCCGGTTCCCCACCCCCTGCCAATCTAGTTTAAACCATCCCGTATAGCTTGACCAAACCTCCCTCCCAGGTATTTGTGCCCTTCTGGTTCAGGTGCAACCCGTCCTTACTGTCCAGGACCCACCTTCCCCAGAATGTGCTCCAATTATCCACATAATGGAAGCCCTCCCTCTTACACCAGCCCTGTAGCCACGTGTTTAGCTGCACTCTCTCCCTATTTCTTACCTTGTTATCACGTGGCACTGGTAGTAATCCAGAGATAGCTACCCTGTTTGTCCTGGACTTCAGCTTCCAACCTAACTCCCTGTACTTGTTTTTCACATTCTCTGTCCTTTTTCTACCTATGTCATTGGTACCGATGTTACCATGACTGCTGGTTGCTCATCCTCCCCCTTAAGGATCTTGAAGACACGATCTGAGACACCACAGACCCTGGCACCCGGGAGGCAATGTACCATCCGTTCATCTCGTTTGTGTCCACAGAACCGCCTGTCTGTGCCTCTTACTATCAAATCCCCCACTGCAATTGCTCTCCTATTCTCCCCCCTTCCCTTCGGTGCCACAGGGCCAGGCTCAGTGCCAGAGACCTGTCCGCTATGGCCTTCCCCTGGTAGGTCGTTCCCCTCCAACAGTATCCAAAACAGTATACTTATTATTGAGGGGAACGGCCACAGGGGATCCCTGCACTGTCTGCCTATCCCCTTTCCCCTTCCTGACAGTCACCCAGCTGCCTTTTTCCTGTACCTTGGGTGTGACCACCTTCCTATAACTCCTCTCTATCACCCCCTCAGCCTCCCGAATGATCCGGAGTTCATCCAGCTCCAGCTCCAGTTCCCTAAGGCGGTCTGTGAGGAGCTGGAGTTGGGTGCACTTCTCGCAGGTGAAGTCAGAAGGGACACCAGCGGTGACCCTTACCTCCCACATCCTGCAAGAGGAGCATGCAACTGATCTAGCTTCCATTCCCTCTACTGTAGATTTCCAGAAGAATTAAAAAAAAAGCCTTACCTTACCAACCCTCCACACAGTCCTTTTTTTTTGGTTAGAGGAGGAGGATGGGTGGGAGACACTACACGTGTAGTGTTTCAGGTTTAGCCAATGCCCAAATATATCAGTTCCTTCCTGGCTCGCGTTCTCTCCACACACCCACCGCTGAAAACAAGAGGGCCGCTGCTGCACGAGGTAAGTTTTTATCCTGGAGAAAAAACAACCTTACCTTCCTGTGAAACAGACTGGTAGGCTAGAGGAGGTCAATGTTGGTAAGGAAGATTTGCTAGGAATTTTGAGGATGTTGAAGATAGATAAGTCCCCCAGGCCTGATGGGATTTATCCAAGGATTCTATGGGAAGCAAAGGAAGAGATCGCAGGGCCTTTGGCGATGATCTTTTCGTCCTCACTGTCCACGGGTATAGTGCCGGAAGATTGGAAAGAGGCTAACGTCATTCCCTTGTTCAAAAAAGGGAATAAGGGATAACCCCGGAAATTACAGGCCAGTTAGTCTTACATCAGTGGTGGGCAAATTATTGGAAAGGGCTCTGAGAGATAGGATTTATGATCACTTGGAAAGGCACAGTTTGATTTGTGATAGTCAGCATGGATTTGTGAGGGGTAGATCATGCCTCACAA